TAAAATAGAACTTTTCAGAGACACAAACAAGTATTATTTGACCATATATTAATCTATAATTTGTGTTTTAACTGTCCTAAAATTGTGTTAAAAAGTTGGGGAAAATCCTCAAAAACCTCTTCTTTGTGCTTCATTTCAGAAATTAGTGTTTGACATCCCAGTCTTCCATCCTCTTGTTGACCCGGTGTCGGGAGAGCTTGATGTCAGAAGAGCTTTCACCAAATGGAGGTAAGCATGCTTTTTTTTTTTTTTTTTCTGTTCATGCATTTTGCTCTCCTATTTACCTCGATTGATGCTTCACAGTAGCAAGAAATGCAAAGATAAGTAAAAACTAAATTATTCATTTGGGCACCCTGAGACAGTTGCGCTTGGTTGTACTTCCTGTTGGACTGAAAGGATGGATAGAATTACAGCACTAATCTCATATCACAAATAGAATTAAAGGCAAAATTATTTACCGTAATACACAATCAGATAACTAGAATAAAATAAAAATAGAATAAAAACTGAAATCTAAAACCACAGCTGCCTTATGTGCTGAGTACACACTGTAAAAGTGATAATATTGTGCTGTAATACACTATACGATGCTGTAAGAGGAGCTGTGCTACTGGACATTCTGTGCAACATTCTTTCGCATCACAAAAAGACTGTTTTCAAGAGCGAGGACATGAAATTGAGTTCAGCATGGTGTTCAAATTAGGAGTGAAAATAGCACATAGTGTTCTACTCATTTCACACTTTAGATTTCCAAGATTTCATTAACCAGAGTACGGTTTAGAATGTAATCACCAGTCTGTGAAGGTGCATTGCTTTTGGTAGGGTCAAGGTAATGAAAAATATTTAATACTTGAAGTCATCTTAGTTTTGTCCCTTCAAAGGAAGACCTTCTAGTGATGACCTGCACTCATAATGTTGTCAAATCCTGTCTTGTGTTTTGTAGACGGAATCACAACCACATCTGGCAAGTCCTGATGTACGCACGCACAGTTTTTTACAAGATCAACACCACGGAACCGCTCAACCCAGAGGCTGCTGTGCTGTGAGTTTCTGATGTTTGTTTTTATTTGTTTTGTCCTAATATAGGAGAAGAGATTTTTACAGTCAGAGCACAAACTTATATTCATGGTTTTATAGATGCTAGTTGATTGTATAGATTATTCTTCTGTTTGTCTATTATAAATAGAAAAAACAGAGTTAAAATGCAAATCTAGACTCAATAACTGGGTCTGTAACCCACTCAGTGAAAAATATAAAATCAGCTTTTGGCTCAGTGATGCTGGTATTGTTACAAATGCCCCATATGTACATTTTGGTTTATGTCATGGACTGACACACTAATAGTTGTAGATGTAGTGTTGTCATGAAACTGAAATTATGACAGTGTTACAGTACCTGCCTACATATATCGATACTGATACTGAAACGACACCACAACAAAAACCTCAGCATAGGTTTAAAAAAAAAACAAAAAAAAAACTGAGAATGTTGTGTCAATGTGAAAGCAAGACAGTGGAGGATGTAAAAAGAAGCCATGAAACACTGTACCATAGTGTGTTCATATATTGTTATATTCAACTTGGTAAAACATCTTTTAGAAATTTGCTATGGGCTCCCCTTATTGTTTATGTAAGCGAAATAAGACTGTATTTTGCTTTGTGGAAAATTCATGGATGGTCTGCAAGTGCACTTGAATTTGCAGCTGAGCCTCTCATTTTTTTTTTCGCTATGAAAGCTGCAGTGTTCTCATGAGAGAAAGAAACAGTGCGGCCACTATGCCTGCAGGGAGTGGAAGCAACTCATAGGGAATACGTCGTCTTATAAAGAAAAAAAAAACTCTTTCTTAAAGTATCTGTACTAACAGGTTATGTGTTGTTTATAATGACAGGGTACTGCGATATCTTTCTAGTGTTGATTTAGTGTCGGTGAGCTAGTATGCGTGACATTGATCCTCGCCACTAAAATGCAGTCGCCCTGTTCACCTGGGATTTTTGCTACGAGTCAAAATGTCTGCAGTGAACGAGGCTCATTCTTAAAGACAATTCTCTGAGAAAGGACATGGTTTTCATAAAGAAGAGAAAAGAACAAAAAGCATTTTGTTATTGCTTCGGTATAGAAAGCAATTCCTATTTTTTGTTGTTTATTTTTTAGATATGAAAAGGATGTTCAGTTGTTCAAGAGCAAAGTGGTGGATAGTGTGAAACTATGCAACAGCCATCTTTTTGACCAGCCCAAGATAGATGATCCCTACGCAATAAGGTTGGTGAACTGTCCCCATTTTTAACATTCCACTGCTCACCGCTACAAGAAAACACACTCTGTAATCCTGTGTGTAATTGTCTGATGAAGCTCTGGAGTGGAAAAAAAAAAAAAGAAAGTTGACTTCTCACACCCTCCCTTCTCCTCTCTAAATCCATCGGTTTCAGCTTCTCTCCATGGAACCCAGCTGTCCACGACGAAGCAAAAGAGAGAATGTTCACATACAAAGTAAGTTTTGCGAAACAAAAGAATGGTACCCTCTCAGGTTAACCCCATTAGCACAAGAGTTCAATCTGCTGCAGAAAGGCTTTTGTGAAGCTAAAGTTTAAGCTATGAGCTTATGATCGGTCGGGCTGTTGCTTTGGCGTAGTTGCTAATTTACCTTTGTTGCCCTAGAGACGGCCTGAGGATCACCACAAGGGAACGCAGGTGTCGGGGTTGTCTTGGGTGAAGCCCGGATCTACGCAGCCCTTCAGCAAAGAAGACAATCCTCCCCAGAGCTGAGCCTGCAGTGTCGCAGCAGTGGCCACTAGAGGGAGGCACCAGCATCAGATGCCACGCCACTGGCTCGCCTCAGCTGTGTATCTGAGCTGGACCCTTGAAACAGTTGGGAGAACTTTATATTAACTCTACGTTATTGCTCAGCTTTAAAAGCTTTGTAGGCATCTCCTCAAACAGCTTTAGTGTAAGAAAACCAAGTTTGTATCATATGTAAATCGACGATGACAAATGGATGTGTCAGCAACATCATTTAGGCTGTGATGCAATCAAAGCGCATTCTTGTTTAGATTTTTTTTTTTTTTTAGATCCACACATGTGTTTGATTAGGTGATGATATAATGTCCCAAAAGGAGGCGAAACATATGAGCAAAGCTATTTGCATTCATATGGTAAGTACAGTGGACTGCATGATCTTTACCACTAATAGAAATTGGCTCAGGACTGTTTATTTGTCAGACTTGGAATGTCATCAGTCACAGCTGTGTGAATGAAACATCCTAATCACACCCTCTCCCAATACCCAGTTAGGTTGACATGATATGTTTTATATTTGTTACTTATGGGACAATGATTTCTTTATATTTCTACTGTGTAAACTATTGTCTTACATAGTTCCTAATATATGTATAAAGCAGAGCAGGCAAGTATGGTTTTAATTGAGATGCTAAGTAAGCTCGAGTATTTTATTTTGTCTGATTTTAAATCATTTTGAATGTTTTATGTACCTTTTGGTTATCGGTTATTAAAGGTTTGATGTGTAAATAACGGATGCTGTGCTAAGGTTTGACTTTAAGAGACATATCTGCATTGATCCTTAGATTTTGTAAGCAAACGTTTTGGTTTTCTTTCCAAATTGCTGTAAATTATTTAAGCTCCCAAGTCAAAGAAGTTACTGCAGGATTCCTACAGAAGTCTGACAGAAAATGTATTTTGATAAGGTTTAGTTATTAACTACTTTCTGAGCAGCACAATATAATGGTTATATACCCTTAAGCTCCAGACAGCTGTCAGTTAGTACTTGACGTCTTCATCTGAATAATGATCTGGCTTGTAGTGAAATTGCTCCTCCACTTTAAATATGCAAATATCGCCGGAAAAAAAGGGTGGAATGTTTTATATACACGAGAATCCCACAAGGAAATGACCATATTAGAAAATCAAATATGGTGCTGAAACCTGTTAGACCTATTTATAGCTGCTGTGGAAGGCAAGGACGTAACAAAATCAGTGTACCTCACACTGTCATTTGGGCTGCTGGCATCTTCAAACAGGAGTCGTTATGTGTTCTGCATTGAACCGTTCCTTCTCCACTGCATAGATGAGAGATTTAAATGTTTTTTTTTCTCTGAAATCAATAAAATGATTTTAAAAAGTTGCACTTTGTATTTTTGTTTTTTTGCATGTGGTTTGTAAAATAAGCATAAAAACACTTCTAGTTAATTTAGAGCATCTGTTCACTTGATTTCTGCTTTCCTATTATAGTTATTCATTCATTCATTCATTCATTCATTATGAAACACAGAAATCATTGAAGCCTCCTGTTGCACTACCTCTGTGCATCATCATTATATGTACAATTCTTTAATTTCATGTGCAACATTGTCATTTAAACTTTTCTAATTTATTACTCTGGTTTAGGCAAGTTTATGTCTCTTCACAGTACTTTTTATTTACATAGTACTTTTATACTTTTCTTTTACATATATTTCATTTCACTTAGAATTTCTTCCATTTAGATTTCTGTATTTATTGCCTGTGTTGTTATTGTTGTGTACCACAGTTTTCATTCACCATGTCTAGATTCATTGTGTGTGCGAGCTCACTTGGCAATAAAAGCTTTCTGTATTGTGGAGTCCTTCTAGTGTACCTGAGCTCACGGACACAACTGGGCCATTGTGGCTCCATTCTAAATGTGTGCCGAAGGCAATTAAAAGTGTCGTGAATTTCATACGTTGTCTATAAAAACACTATCGAGGACGACAGATAATGTCCAAAGTGGGGTAACTGAATTTAGGGCAGTATGTCGCCCACGCCGCCGCCAGAGGTCGGTGTACACCCACAGTGGAGAGCGGCTCTCCCACTCCGGTCACGTTCGCACCGAGAAGAGACTCCGGTCCATGTGCGAAAGTAAAACCTCTCCGGATTGGCTCTGGCTCGGACGCGGCCATCTTATGCACTCTGTCAACACAGCGACTTGACAAAACACTACCTGATGTGTATCCGCTGTCAGGCGCCGGTTTGGTCGGCGCTGTTTTCATAGCGCTCACACCGGCAGAACCGGTTTTTAATTTGGCACGGATCGGCGTCACTGTGGCAAATTGTATGCGGACCAATCACAGGCGGCGACACTGATATGCAAATGAGGTGTTATCACCGTCACGTCAGCAGCAGCAGCAGAGCCGCTGCGCCGTGGTCGCCAGCAGGAGTACAACTAACAACACAGCCACAACTTCGCCGATAACACTCTTGTCTACATTGACGTCTGGAGTTGCGTTTTTTTGCGGTTCGTTTCAGGTAAGAAACAACACTTGTTTGTGGTTATTTTTATTTTGAGAACCGTTTCTGACTCGGAAGGGGTGGAGGTTCTGTTTCATTCAAGCTAGGAGCTGTCAAATTTCGGACAGTCAGTCAGTGAGGGTCGCCTCAGCTGTCTGATGACACACCGCCGAGCCGAGTGCGTGTCTTCCCGGTTAGAAACAAACACGGCCGAGTTGCCAAACTTGTCCGCTCTCCGTAAGTTCGCGTGTGAAAGCAGCCGATAACCGTCGTACTTTGTCGGGAGTTTTGTCGCGTAAAGATGAAGAGTGGGCGCTTCAAAGTGCTGCCTCTTCTTGGTCGCGGTGGTCCTGAACTGACAGCGACCAGCCGGGCTCAGTCAGCACCGCACTTCAACTGTTGGGAACACTCCGCTTTTAATCCGAAATGACAACAAAACTCCGCCGGGAATAGCCAACTAGTTAGTTGAATGACCACGGACACCATGACTGACGACCTCTCCATCCATCTCCGGCCTCCTCCTCCTCCTCCTCCTCCCCCCCACCTTTCCTCCCCTCCTCCTCTCCTCTCCTCGTCTTCTTCACGGAGCAACGTCACGACACCTTTTTCAATCCAAAGTGAAGGTTTTGCCTCGGAGCACGTGCCTCGACAGCCAGGGCTAACAGTTTTAATATCTAACTAATCAAATGTCCTGCTTTCGTTTCATTTGGTGTCCGAGCAGTTAAAGTCGCAGCAACACATTGCCGCCTCGCCGGCTTATTATCAGGCGCCGCGCTCGCAGCAGCTGAAGCCATTCGCGGAGGAAGATGAAGAGGGATGCTGCTCACTTCGGCGGTGAGCTTATTTAATCATAGCAAGGACTCGTCAAAGCTTTTTGAAAAAACACCACAGATGTGTTGCCAAGTGACACATGGCGCCATTTTAACAATTAGAAGTCTCACGAGCGCTAAATGAAACGCGCGCTCAGTCTCAGCGACGCGTACTTTTTTTTTTCTTTTTCTTTTTCTTTCTTATTTTAACTAACTTTGCACATGCTAATTTAGCAGGTAACGCTGTTGGTTTTTATCACTGTTTGACTTGAGGTTGGCCATCTGTTCGACACCCGTCCCAGGATTCAGTGCGACCTCGGGACAGTTTACAGAGACGCTTTTTGTTGATATTAGGGCCTGAGGTGCACGTGTCTGGATGGTGCTTCTAGCGTCATGATTATGAAGGAAACAGCTGGAAATCAACAGAGGGGCCTGGCCTGAGCCTCAGGGCCAGATGGGTGCTGTTTAAAGGTTAGCAGTGGCTCACGTAGCTGGCTAGAGAATATGCGCACTGACTAAAGGGCCCATGGGAAATGCCATGTGTATAATTTGTTTTTTCCAAACTTAAGCGTCCATTGTGTTTTCAACCCAGGAGTGGGTCCGACTTGAGTGCTAGTTTCCTCAGCTTTTAACTTCATTGTGTCTCAGAGTTACGTTCAGTTCAATTCAGACGACTTTATTTATCCCCTAGAGGCAATTCGAAACAGCTAATGTAAACACATCGACAAATAAACACAATAGAAAATAAAACACAAAATGAGCAAAAATATTCATAAAATTGGATGAATTTTGGAGAGTCAGGGGGACATGAGTTCCAATCTGTTAAGCACAGTCATGATGTGATCTGAAGCCTTTGCTTTTGGGTGGATGGAGAACCCACTACATATATGTATAATACATTTATTACTTTGAATGACACAAAGCGACTATCAGCTACAGGGTCCAGTTAAGACCCATGACTGATATTTGGAGCAGATCTGCATCAGCAGTAGGTACGTCCCATATTGGCTTTTTTGTCGATATCCGTTATGCCGATATTGTCCAACTCTCAATTTCCGATTCCGATATCAACCGATACCGATATATGTTTGTTGCTGCAGCCACACTTGTTCACACACTTTACGACGCAGTTTGATGTCGTCATCATTTGGCGAAATCTAGGCATTATTTTAGTGGTTTTCATTATAGGCACCAAAAAAAAAAACGCTGACGTGACAGATATTACATTTTTATGACAATATCGGGCACCCCTAATCAGCAGTAAAAAGGAAAATCCAAGCGACAGTAATTACAATCACACAAATCCCAACACAACACCTGTTCAGATGTCACAGCTTTTTAACACGTATCCTTCAGCACTAATAGTTATTCCTTATGATGTAACCATTCAGATAGTGTTACGCTTAAATGGTTGAGCTCAAATCATTTAAACAGTTAATCAGAACAGTATGTCTTTACAAATAAACTGTGTTTTATGCCAAATGGTGTAATAGATGGATTTAACATTTGCTTCGTCAATTTATAATCAAACTCGGCTTTAAATCCAAAACTTGCTAAAATGTCATTCTCCAAACCATTTCCAACTCATCTGGGGTTTCGCTGGAGTACGAGATCTCCTTGGTTAAAAGAAAAAAAAGGGGAATTCATGACAAAAATCTTCAACAACCATAAACTTTCTGCAAAGTCCCCATATCTCAGTTATCTCTTTGGGTTTTCAGGCTTTTTCCTTTGGGTGCACTTTGAGATTTCTTTTAAATTAAAAGTGCTTTATAAATAAAATGTATTATTATTATTATTATTGTGGGCATGATACTGCTTGAGACCAATGGTGCATTTCTAGAGCAGGAATCCGTTTACAGTTTTTCTCAGTCGCTTTGGTGCATTTTCGAATCATCCTCGACATTTGCATAACAGTAAGTGCATTTCTCGAAACAATTCGTGCGAATAGCAAAACACCATGGACTACCTGCAAAAGGCAGTGACTTGATCAAAACCCTTAGTTCATCTCTCAAAACTAAATATCTGTGTCAATGAACACGGCAGTGCCATCAGAATGACCTTGTGTCAATGTGTACGGATAAGGCAGTCAAATTGCTTAGTCATGTTGTCAGTATAACAGTGTACTCTGAAGGGATGTTCTGATGTAAACTATGGCTAAAGTTTTGATGACAATTATTGGAAATTGTGAGTTGCACCTTAGTGTGTGTAGGGGATTGATTGCAAAGACTGACTGAGTTTCACATTTATGCTTTTACTGTTTGTACTGTAATTTGTGGACAGACCACGTCATTGCGATACAGAAAGGAAAAGACAGCACCGCATAGCACAAAGAAAAAAAAAACTAAAGTAGAAATGCGAACATAGGACAGCCTCCTTAGGGAAGACTGTATGCTGTGCTGTAGGAATTAGTTTTCCTATAAACTTGCCAGTTGCTGGTTCATAAGATGCACCTTTGAGCTATTTCAGAAAACTGTTTGGTCATTGGTTGATCTATGTAATGCTTCACACATTTCCCTTCATTAGAGAAAGTCAAGATTCATCTGGGAGCAACTTCCCAATTCAGGACAGATTTAGAAAAAAAAAGTCTCATGAAAATGTATCGTCGACATATTATGACAACTTGTTCAACCATTTTCCATGTAAAGACTTATGTGATGAACTAATGCGTAAATGTTGTAGGGGGTGAGACTATTCAACAGAGACCCATTATAATTTATTTTGATCAACATGACGTGAGCAGTTGATAATGTAGGAAACAGCAGAGAATAGTACATCATCATTTGCATGGATGTACCAAAGCATTTAGAACTTGTTTAAAGAAATGAAAAACTGCTTTCTTCATGTGCACAAGTGACACAATGATGTGAAGATTGAACAAGGAGTTTTGAGAATTTCAACTCTGATCTAAGAAATGTTCCAAAGCGACTGAGAAAAACTGTAAAAAAGAAAAGATAATAATCAGGAAGATTTTGAATATCGTCACACGTCTGATATTTGGCTGATAATCAGTTTGGCCATGGTATCTGCCAAACAGGCATTGGAAATTATTTAAAGTCAGGCACATGTATGA